TGTGTCTTCCGCACTAAGTCCATCTTGTCTCTAAGGCCACGATACAGCCTTGCAAAGAGCTTCCTTTTTAAGCGTATCTTGGGGTTTCTCTGCTTTAAAAAATATTGCAGGAAGTATATTTATTTTTGGTTGTGTGTCTTGGTGTGTACGCGTACTGTGAAATAGTAAAACTAATCTGGTACACACACTGAACAGCTTGCACTCTTAGTGTCTGTGGGTGTGCTGTACATGGCTTTCATTATGTTGAGGTATGTTCCCTCCAGTCCAGTTATTTCTAGAACTTTTAATATGAATGCATGTTGGATTTTGTCAAAGGCTTTTTCTGGATCTATTGGGATGGCCATGTGGCTTTTGTCTTTAAGTCCATTTATATGTTTTATTACATTTCTTAACTTACACATATTGAACCATCGCTGCATCTCTGGAATAAAGCTGGCTTGATCATGGTGGGTGATGTTTTTAATGTGTGTCTGCATATGGTTTGTGAGTATTTTGTTGAGTGTCTTTGCATCTGTGTTCATTAAGGATGTGGGCCTATCCTTTTTTTGCAGTGCCTTTACTTGGTTTTGTATTGCAGTGCCACTGGCGTCATAGGAGGAATATAGGAGTGCTCCCTCTATTTTTATCTTTTGGAATAATATAAGCAGTACTGGTTGTGGATCTTCTTTGAATGTCTGGTAGAATTCTGCTGTGAATCCATCTGGGCTTTTTTTTAGACAGTGGGGCATTGAAGTCATCTACTATTACTAAATTGGGGTTAGTCTGTGTTTTGTAGTCCTGGAGTACTGATTTTTTTTTTTTTGGTCTTTTTGAGACAGGATCTCCCTGTAGCCCTAATTGTCCTGGAACTCACTATTTAAACCAGGCTGGCCTTGAACTCACAGAGATCTGCCTGCCTCTGCCTCCTGAGTGCTTGGATTAAAGGCGTGTGCCACCACACCTGGCTGGAGTGCTGTTTTTATGAAATTGGGTGCTTCAGAGTTTGGTGATCATATATGTTCATGACTGTAATATTTTGCTGATCAGTTGTTCTTTCGATAAGGTGAAGGGATCCTCTTTATCTCTTCTGATTGGTTTTAATTTGAAGTCTATTTTGTCTGATAGAATTATAACACCTGCTTGCTTCTTAGAGCCATTTGCTTGGAATATTTTTTCCATCTTTTCACCCTAATGTAGTGTCTATTCTTGAAGGTGAGATTAGTTTCTTGAAGACAACAAAAGATGGCTTTTCTTTCTTAATCCATTCAACTAGTCTGTGTCTTTTGACAGGGCGTTGAGGTCATTGATATATAGTGTTATTATTGGAAGGTGTGTGTTGGATACTGTCATTTTAACTTCTTTGTGTCTGTGGCCCTCTTTTGTGTTTCCTGTTACACCTTTCTTTGTTTTCTTTCTGTAACCTACGGGGTACACTCATTCCTATCTTTGCATTACTTCGGGTATTCTCTGTAGGACTGGTTTGGTGGACATAAATTCCTTCAGGCTATTCATGTCATAGAAACATTTTCTGTTCCCTTTTGTCTGTGATAGATAGTTTTGCTGGATAAAATATTCAGGACTGGCATCCATGGTCATTTAGAACTGGGACTACTTTGGCCCAAGCTCTTCTGGCTTTCATAGTTTGCATTGAACAGTTAGTTGTAATTCTGCTGGGTTTTCTTTTGTATGTAACATGACGTTTTTCTCCAGCAGCTTTCTGTGCCCTCTCTTTGTTCTGTACATTTATTGTTTTTACTATTATATGCTGTGGGGCGCTTCTTTTCTGATCATGTCTAATTGGTGTTCTATGTGCTTTTTGAATCTATATACGTCTTTCCTTAATTTATGGAAATTTCCTTCTATAATTCTTTTGAAGATCTGGTCAATGCCATTGGCCTGAGATTCTTCTCCTTCCTTTATGCCTGCGATGAATAGATTTGGTCTTTTCATGTTGTCGCACATTTCCTGCAAATTCCATTCCTGTGCTTTTAAAGATTTTACATAGCCTTTGCTTAAGGAGTCCAGTTCTTCAACTTTGTCATCCAGCCTTGATATTCTGTTATCCTTGCCATTCATTCTACTTCTGAGGCTTTCTCCTGTTTTGTCCAATTGACTTGCTGAGTTTTTCTATTCCATGCTCAGTTTGGTTGGAGTTTTCTTCAGTATTTCTATCTCTTTTGTAAATTCACTTTTAATGTCCTGATTTGCTTTTGATATTTCATTAAGCCACGTAGTTGTATTTTCTTGACCTTCCATCACAAGTTTGTCCCTATCCTCTTTTGAGTTCTTTGTATTTTCTTTAAGTTCTTTGATCATGTTTATGATTGTTCTTTAAATTCTGCATCCTGGGATTCCTCAGGATGTTTCTCATTGTAGTACACTTCTGTGGGACTAGTGGGTTTTGTTGGTTACATATTCTCTTGCTTTTTCATATTATTTTTGTTTTTGTTGCTGTTTGG